CAAATTCTCAGTCAGAAAATAATTGATATATACTTAGAAGACAAAATTTCCTTATTAGGGTGGCAGTAAAATTGAGTGAGTTGTCATCAGAGGAAAATATAGCCCTGCAATTTCAGGATTAGAATATGAATTAGAGCATTCTCTAGATGCCAGGCTATTAGCTCTTAGGTCAAAGACAAAAATACCCTCTCTGTTCAAGATTTCTGTGCTCTACAAAGTCTCAGCAGCATCTGCTTTTCTGTTGTCCAGCAAGGCAGAGTTCTGAACTCTGGTGTGTACTTAAGCTGAATAACAGCAGGATGTAATACTTTCCATATTAATCATGAGGATTAGAGACAGTAATGCCAGACATGGCTAATAGATCTGGGAATGCACAAACACTTCAAGTTGGAGCTGCACTCAAAAATCACCAGATAATGGTTGGATCTGAGCAGGAGGTACATCCTTTCTTTACACTCATTGCTAGTAGGTGTTAGTGGGTGTCATCTCTGGCTCTGAGAATGGAGAATAGAATAGGAGAGGATAAATAAAGAAAAATGAAGCAGAGATTGAAAAACTATGAGAAATCAGCCATATCATCATGACTTCCCCTTAACACACACACAGCCACACATGCGTGCAGCCATTTATAATTGCTTCATCAATACCAGCTTTGCTGACCATTTAAAAATCCAACCTATGCCTTAAAACAGGTAGTGTATGTGCCAAGAACACAAATATTCACTAGAGCAGGAAAACACAAGACCAGTTCAACAGAGCAGATCATGCATTTTTAACCTCATAGCATGGCAGGAAAATGCTTTAAACCTGTAGCAAGTCAATGAGAAATCTTCCCCACTGGTAAGCACAATAGCAGCCATCCATTTCAACAGAAGTTTATCAGCAGTGAAACCTGACCGAGATAAATGACGAAGCTGTTGAGCCTGCTTCTGCCTGCTGCAGGCTGCCAGATAAAATGGGAATAAAAGCTCCCTGCTGTACCCCCTACCAGTCTCCATTAACCCCTGCTGATGCTTTATTATCGTCTGGGTTCTCCAGAACAGCATAGCATGAATCAGTGGGTAAAAAATAAATAATAAAAACTCCTATGTAGCATAAACAAACCAGAAACATGGCTTACAAGAATGACATTCAGTTTGGTACCCCTGCAATCAAATAACGGTTCTGAGGAATCCCACATGCAAAGGTGAGAAAAATGAGAAAAGCACAAAGTATGCAAAATCATGTATGAAAAAACTACTTAAAGGCAATAAAGGCAAATACACAAATGCACTTCTGCTTTTATCCCCCTTTTCACCTATACACAAACACATGAAGCAAAGCAGGGACCAGGCATTTTATTCTGATGCCTTCATGTCCAATTCCAAATTTCATCTTTGGAATCTGTCACAAATACCTTTCTTTGTTGCACCTACACCAGCGTCCTTTCTTCAAATATAAGTTTAAAACATTTACTGAAGGCCAAAGCATCTTCTATTACACAGATATAAAATAATGGATGGTGAGGGCATGGAAAGTGCAGCAAACCTCAAGATTCCTGGTTGCCACTGGAGAGCAGGCAGTGTGAGCAAACTTGAAATGTTAGTAGTATTTTAACTATCGTAGATTAAGATAGGAATCTACATTTAGCAGAGGCCATCTGATTAGTTAACACCAGAGGCTCTACCAGTCAAGCTGGCTCTGCCCAATCAAAATTTCCAGGTACTGTAGAAGGGGATAAATTCCTTGTGGTGCTTATGAGGAATGTGTTAGGGAAGACAGTTTGGATCAGTTCTGCCTCAAGCAAAGGCAAACCCATCCGTGGGATTGTTTTTGCTCAAGACTGGGGTGCACTTGGTGGGTGATGTAGAGGGATGGGGAAACAAAATGGGAGATTTATTCTTTGGATGAGAACAGTGTGTGATGTTGAGCTGTATAATATTGGTTGCCAAATCTCCATGGACAATGAGGATGGACTGCTCCAGACACACCAGTCATGAGCTCCTGATGTAATTTGCAACTAGCCAACATCACAACAGTCCTCCTGCCCTGGAAGACACTTGGGACAGAGAGAACCCACAGACATGGACTATATTAACAGACATCTTGGGGGGATGGCCATTGATTACAGAAATGAGAGCTGTACTTTGTGTGTTTGTCTGTGTATATATATACATGTATATAGTTGGAAGGAGTAGGACCTGGACATATAAAAGGACACGGTATAAAATAAGGGGTAGGACATGTCCTGGTTCTGGCCAGGACAGAATTAATTTTTGCAGTAGTCAGGAGGGAGCATGGCCAGGACCTGGAGGTTATTCTGTGCCCCTTCAAGTCATTGCTGGGGGTGGGGGAAAGGGACTCTCTTCCAGGGAGAAGGGGTTCCTTCAAACTGAGGAAACACGGCAGGGGGAGAGGGAGTCATCCAGTTTTTTCTATTGCCAGGGATATTCTGAGTGAATAATTTCTTTCTCTCATTACTATTGTGCTGTTACTGTTAGTTTTCTTATCTCAACCAGTGATCTTTGCTTTTTGTGCCTCCAATTCTCCTCTCCATCCTGTTGGGGGAAGTGAGAAGTGTGTGGTTTGGAGAGTCTTGGTGGGAGCACTAAGTTGGGGAGCACCATTTCTTAATCATGACAGGTGTAGATAAAAAAAAAATCCCCTTTAGACTGAACCTTTCTCTTGGATGGACACCTCCACTTCATCCTATAGAGCTCTTCCATGCTTTACTAACTGCAGAAGCCACACTGAACATGTGTGCTGATCACTCCCAGGGTCACTGATTTTCAGCCCCTATCTGCCCATCTGACATGCAGTTAGCAGGCAGCAACATTGCATCTAAGGAAGAACATGACAGAATGGCCTCAACGCAGGAGAAGAGAGGCTGTATGGGTTACATCCAAAGGTCTACCCATCCCAGTATCCTTTCTCAGAGAATAATCAGCACTTACACTCACAGAACTGCATAAGAAAGGAAATGTCTACAGAAATGTTTCAAGAAGATTCCTTCCTTCTACATCAATTTACAATTCAGTGATTTGTAGCTCAAAGACAATTTTACTTGCCACTAAATTGCAGGGGAATTCTCTTCCACAAACCTACTCAGTCTTTCTAGTAACATGTGTAAGCTTTTAACATCTACAACCATTTCCACAACATCTGCTTTTGTTTGTTCTGTACCCACCACCTAAAATTAGTTACAAGGACTAACATCCTCTGTCAAAAAAGGTGTCTGTGTGGGAAGTGTTGATCACCTTACACAAAATTTTATAGATCTGTGTCACATATGCCTAAATGAACACTTTCAGGAATCAAAAAATACAAACCCATATCCTCAAATAAAACTAAAATCTAAAAGCACTGAAGAAAAACTAGGAGAACAACTTCTCTGTTGCTTTAAAGGTTTTGGCCCTTCTGTTTCAAGATTTACTGCAAGTTGATAAGAGTTAACAAATGTTAACTTTTTATAAAAAGCAGCAGCAGTAATATAACTCTAGCATTTGGAGACTCATAGGAAAAAATAACTAGTAATTCTGAAATCTTAGAGTGATAAATCTTTTCTGATGCCCCACTTAGATAGTAAATGACAACCTGGAACAAACTCATTTTGCTGGCTTACACTGATTTAAGAACAATGAAATGGAAATTGTCCCAAAAAACCTTTGTGCCAAATCAGGTATCTTCTGTCCTGCCACAGACACTATAATGTTGACATAAACATTCTATGATGTGTTCTAGCCAGTTTGACAGAATTGCAGCAGTGAGTTCGTGCCTGATCTAGATGAAAATTTCTGCCACAAACTGATCCTGAATAGAATTATTATTAATGAATATGGAATTTCAGAGTTCTGGCAAACATGAGGGTGAAGAATGCCTAACTTTCCTTTTGCAAAACACATTAAAGACTGAGACAGTGTCAGGGCTGAAGTGCTCAATAATAAATCTCTATACATCACTAAGACTATTTTCTACTCTTTTCTCAGAGCTGGTGTAATATTAGGTGAATTACAGACTATAAATCTTGTTTTCAGGACAAAGAAAACTCTGCTCCCTGAGGCTCTCTTAAGGACTGCTTCAAAGCAACTCACCTTGAAGGACTGGAGTTACTTTGCCTCTAAAGGAGAACTAACAGTTATGTGACCTTCCAGCACATGACTATGACTTCACCTTGACTTATTTGTAGCTATAAATGAGTAAAACCTACTTTGTAAGTCTAGAAAAGATATGATAAATGCTAAAAGTTATTTGCAAGTTAGGAATCGACAAGGAAAGCCGTAATTCCTCAACAGAAGGCAAATCTACCAGGATATAGCGCAGGCAGACCTGTGCACCATGTAGCAGTCAAGTCTTCCACTTCCAACAAAAGTTTTTGAAAGCAAACTGATCAAATGCTAAACAATACCATTTTCTCTAAGACTGACAGATAATAAATGTCAAATTTGTTTTGCAACTGTTACACAACAAGATAAATACAAGACTTTCAATGTAGGAGAGAAAAAAAAGTGCCTTTGTTTTAATTAAAAGTTTCAGCTGGACATGTCAGAAAAAAAGGAAAATCTATGCTCTTGCTGAAGTTCTAATTAAACAAGGGAGATGCAAAGTATAAAGGATTTCTGGAAGTATAAACTAAGATTTATTTCTTTAAAATATGTTTTACTAGGGTCCAAATTGAGTAGTGCAAAGACTGAAAGATAATTTTTTTAAACTACATACATTAATCCCAGTAAAAAGCTTTTTCTCTTAATGACTTAAGAATTGACTTATTTAACAAGTCCTTATCACACATTCTTACAAAGACAGCTTTACTACATGGATATAATTTCTATTTTACACAAAAAAATGAGGGAAGAATAGCAAGTAACTTGCCCAAAGGCTGAGAAGAACAGAGTTATTTCTTAAAGCACAACTCAACCACCATCCTATCACCCTTTCTGACTGTATCAAAATAGGAACACTTAGAAAAGCGAAACTACATTCTATAACTTCATGGAATAAAAAATTCAGGTACAGTTACAAACCTCTATTTTGTCTGTTTTGGCATCGCCCCAGTATATTTTGCTTTCTGCATAATCCAGTGCCAACCCATTTGGCCAGCCAAGTGAGGTGTTCACCAGCACAATTCTGTCTGAGCCATCCAGTGCTGCCCTCTCAATCTTTGGGATTTCTCCCCAATCAGTCCAGTACATGTACCTGCAAAGGAAACAAAACCTTATTAATTCAAACCTCCAATATTCTTATAGCTTCTTCTGGACTACTCTTTCCCAAAACCATACAGCACACAGAAAGTTACATCCCTAAACCAAAAATACCTCCCTACCTAAGTAAGAAGGCCCAAACTATTCAGAAAGAATTGGCATGTAAACACACAAAATTCCTGTATCAGCCTGCTCAGCAAGGCAATATAACCAGTGTTATTAGCTAGAATAAACAAGCTGATCCATGCAGTCCACAAAAATATCTTTAAAAATAATAAAATATAGACACATAAGGTGACTACCTAGGTGGTCAAAGTAGAGCAGCAGTGCTTGTGCCTCAGAGCCTTAACTTTCAGAGAATCCCAGTATTTTCATTTGGAAAGCTCAAAAGTTTATCATTGCATCCCATTATCTGCATAGAAGCAGACAGAGGTATCTTCTTTGCATGACCAATATTTTTAAAAATGCTCACAAACAGTTCCTCACCCAACCATGGGATCCAGCACAATAGCTCTGGGTTCTTCCAGGTCTTCTGATATCAAGATTTTCCTCATGGTCCCATTAAGCCTGGTGACTTCGATGCGGTCTGTGCCGGTGTCCGTCCAGTACAGGTTGCGGGCCACCCAGTCCACAGCAATGCCATCAGGGTGTGCGATCTGAGCGGTGACCACGAACTGGCTGTCCGAGCCGTCAAGGAAGGAGCGTCGGATGGCCCTCACTTCATCATCCGTCCAGTAGATGTATCCTTCCAGAGGATCAAAGTCAATGGCAATGGCGTGGCGGATGTCCTCCAGCGGCAGCACGATGTCTGTGAAATCGGGGGTGTCCAAGGAAATGCGCCTCAGGTCCGTCCGACGGGCCAGGAGCAGCAGCGCAGTAGCACCTGCAGGAACAGGACAAACACAAACATCTTGGAAACACTGTGCAAGAGGCCTGGAAATAGAGAACCTGAGTCTGTTCTTTCCCAACAACATGGTCTAGCTACCTTGATTTCACAGGACCTAACCAAACTGCTGGGTATCAGCAGAGAATTTCACTCCAAGGCTTCAAATGTGAAGCTGCTCACAATGTTCTTCTTCAGAACAAGTCAGATGTGTTTACAGAGAAAATTAAGTGGTCCTTTCCTTTCCCAGAATGTATCACGTTGCACATATTCTATAGCCATATCGTTCCCTCCAAATTACTGAAAAAGATACGCAGCAACTATGCTGCTATTTTGTGCAAACCAACAGATGGCCTGCAACCTCTTAGATGAGGAATTATTTACTGAATGTTTGCTGCTGTTGATGAGAGGATAACCATGACAAACAAGCTGTATGTTTCAACAATGCCTGATGAATGGAAAAAATGTAACATAAAACACCATGAGTTTCTCTTTTGAGAAACTCTTATTGAACGAGTCAGATTTGGGAACAGACCACTGTGCAATGACCATGCAGAGCAGGACGGCTGTCACCTCCTCCTACATTTGCTAAGAACAAGCTTATTTAAGACATGAAGATACGTAACAGTGTTTTGAGCCAAAGCACACAAAAGCCTTGGTGGTTTTTGGGTCAAAAGTCAGAATCACAATAAATAACTAAGATCAGCTTGCACTGCAGAAGATGTTTTACCACACAGGCAACACAGCATGTTTAATGGTACCATCAATGACAGTTGCAGTTATTGTCTAATCTAATTAATTTTCATTTAATTTTCTACACTAAGTCCCCAGTTTTCAAGGTAATGAAAGATAAAAATAAACCACATCCCATTCCAATTAAACTGGCTTTTCAGTTTGGAGTCTTAGGGAGATAAAAGCAGCTCAGGCCCGAGGGAAGCCTGAGCTAAGGTGAAAAATGCATGTATAATTTCAGGGAAAGTGTGGTGCAATGGCTCTCCTCAAAGATTGAGAGGACAGGCTTTGGCAGGGACTGATGGAGGATGAGGGGGAGGGTGAAGAAGGCTTAGGAAAACAAATGCATGAACATGCAGTGAAAATGAGCAATCACCAAGCTACATTGTGTCCATGTCTTGATTTTGATGTGTAAGAGGTATAAATAGGAGCTAGAAGACTGAAAGAGCTAAAACTGAAGTAAGTTGGTGATGAAAGAAGAATTTTGGTGTCTGATGCCAAATTTGTTTTTTAAAAAAAAGACAGTAATTTATGTTGGTTGGTGCTAGCTGAAACCTCACTGCATGCTAAACCTTGGAAAGATGCCAAAGCAGCCACTGCTTCATTTACAGCAAGTTTTAAGTGTTAAAAACCTCTAAGACACTTTCATAGTGCTGCAGGAAAGAGCACCTTTCAACAACTGAAGTTGAGGATATTATGACAAGTGTTTCTGATTGGTAGCCCAGAATGGACTAAGATCAGCTTTGGGATCCTCTGCCCTAAAACACTTTGTGCTCAGAAATACATGTATACACTACTCCACTGTCCTTCTAGTAACTCTTATGCATTAATTAATCAGGACTGAGGAACCTATAATTACATGCCTATGTATCCTTCAAAATACTGTAAAGCATGAGACATAGCCAATGGAAAAGGGCCTGTTAGAGAGTTTTTTTTTAATTATTATTACAGACACAATTAATCTTGACACAGCAGTCTCTATGTACATCTGTATTTGCTGCTACTATGTTTAACAAAAAATTCAGCATAAAGATTCAAGTAGACAGGTGCATTATGTTCATAGAAAGTCTTAGTACGTAATTAATTCCTACAATTTAGGTTCAAGAAAGAAAGAAACCCCTACTACATTATCTTATCAACTTCACAGTCTTTTATCCAACCTGGTTTTTAAACATAATAATGACAAGTATATTCAAAACCCCAAACAATGATTTTTTTTTGCATTATCAAGTAAACCTAAGGTTAAACAAATGCCCTAACCTCAGAGTTCAAATATATATACTGTCTACTATATACAGAAAAAGTGTAAGGCATAATTTAAAAATAATTTGTGTGTTCTAGCTGAAGCTGACAGTCATTTCAAAGAACCAATTCCAGGTTTCCAGAAAGACTCAGTTCAGTATAACCATACCCTTGCTCGAACTTATCCTTCAAATTGACCAACTGACCTTCACGTTCTTCCCAAAGATGACCCATTTCAACAGCTTCAGTATCCTGCTTTCAGCCTGCAACACTGTTGTTTAGTCAAACAACCCATTGTTTTTAAGCTTTAATTCAGCACTGGGAAATGACTGGCTTTCAGTTAATCCGTGTTGGACTCTGGAACCCTGAGCTAAGAATTTCATGGTCCTTATTTGGCGGCTTTGCCAGCATTCCATTCCCTCCATCAAACACCCACCCTGAGCTCTCCAACCAGGCAATTAAAAGTTTAAAGCTTACTTCAGAGCTATTACCCAAACATTTGCAAACCAACACCTCAGCTGCTTAGTTAGCTCAGCAGTCATTCTGTTCAGGAAAAAGAAACCGAGCAGCAGAGAAGCACCACACTTCCAGGCAGGCTGAGGGAAAGATCACTTTGAATACCTCCAGGCTTATCCTGACAATACCAAGAGCTAGGCATATTTATAGACTGATTCCATCACTGCCTTGGTAACAGCCAGAGGAAAGAACCCCAGGTAGTCTCAAAAGTGTGGCAAACACCAGCTATGAAAAGTTTACCTGGCTAGGCACTGATCACCACTCAGAAGATGCTCAAGGTACTCAAGGGTGCCAGGACATGACAAAACCAATCGATTTTATTCACTTCTACTCCAAAGACCAGTTATGAAGTAAAAGTTAAGATGACAGCAGGATCTCCAGACCTTTTGCCTTGCCTAAGAAAAATCAAGCCTCTAATGATGAGCATGAGGGAGAGAATGTTATGAATACAGAATTGTATTTCAAAAAAAGGAAGAGAGAATGCAGGCTGCATGCAAGCATAACTTTATTTTTGGCTTTTTAAAAAAAAATTATCAGCACTTATTAGGGGAACTGGAACAAGTCGCAAACATATAAAACTCTTACAACCTCAGCTGGCTTAGATGCTTTCAAAGGGCATAGGGAAGCTGCAGCCAGAACTCTGATCTCACACACATATGCAGACTTGAGGCAGTTTTCCCTCTGTTTCTAAACCATTCATCTTGTCGACAAAGCTCAAGATTCTTTTTAGCAGTGCCTCAAGTCACAGGATATTGAAGATAGTTAGCAATTTTTTGAAAGCCAAGTCCTTTACTTGTCTAAATATGGACATATAAGCCTTACTACTCCAGACTCAGTTTTGAGAGCTTTACACTATTTTTATTAAGCACTTTGAAAGCTGGGATTACAAGCTCACAGATGATGCATTACATTAGTACTGGAACTAATGCTTGCCTCAAAAGTTCACTATTAAAATTCTAAATAATTTAAATCTGTGTGCTAGATGGAGTTAAGGGAAGGGGGAGAAAGGGGGAATCAGGGCAAGCATAAAGATACATGCAATGGCACAGCTTTAAGTCCAATGCCCTTCTAACCTTCATATTTAATTACATCTTCTCAATGATATACAGGCATCAGTCACTTGTAAGTTATTGAACTTTAAAGCCATCAGTGGTTGCTGAGCTACACAGACACTCAGGAATGCATACAAAAGAAGTGCTAGACCTAAGATATGTATAATGCATTCCCTGTATCTGAGAAATCAAGATTATTAATACATCCCAAATAGAATTACTTTACATTTGACCAAAACATTTAATTCTTAAATGTTTCTCCCCAGTTTTGAAGTCACTATTTTGAAAGAGTCCCTGATACAGCAATACAAACACGAGTTTTTCATGTAACCTTAAAACTACAAAGGCAAAAGAACATAAATCTGCAATTAATTATATATTTCTTCTTTACTTTAAAAGAAATTAAAGAATGAAGGTGTGAAACTAACATCCTGATCTGTGCTATCAAATTGGGATCCTGGCTACTTCTGACAAAGCAAATTAGGCAGTGGACAGCCTTAAACTGCACAAGGAAGTGCAAAATTCTGCTTCTGCCTCCAGGCCTACTAGGAAAATAGGATGTGAGTATCCATGGGCAAAATAAAGACTTTTCCTGGAAGAGAACAGAATGGCCAAAGCAAGGTTGAAATCGAAGAGTGAAGCACTGTTTTTTCTTTGTGAGGTAGCTCACACCTCCTTGCTCAGCTGAAGTCACCACTGGTTTTCGCAGTTTAAACTGCTACTGTGGTTTAAAAAGTGCTTTAAACTACTTTTTTCACTATTGGCAGAAGCAACTGCAGGACACAAGTCAAACTCCTTCTGGGCAAAGACAGAAGCTGAGCACATGGACAGAGAGATCTTCATGCACTAGTAAGAATCTAACTCCAATAACAAACTCATTTATATAAGAAAATTCAGGTTTGTCTTACAACTAGCAAAAGATCATTTGAATGTAGCACTGCCAAAATCGGAACAGCGGCACACACAATACTGCAAAAGAAATTCCAGTATGTTGTGCAGAACAATACATTACCAAGAATATAACAAAAGGTGGTAAAAGCTCTCTGGCAGAAGACCCAAGTCCTGCCTGGGTGCTCAGAAAGGACTCTTTGCTTCACATGTTACTGATAGAGAACTATCAGGCCATGAAATAACTTTGCTTCTCTTTTGCTTGAGGGACAGGTATTTACAAACTTTCACCTAGGATATGGGGGAGCTAAAACCTTGCTACAAACCCACATCTCAGTATACTTCACTGTTTTGATTTGTATTATCAGGTATTAGAAAAATAGTTTTATTCTAAGGTATTAACCCTTCCTGAAACACTGTGGAGATATTGTTCAAAATTGAAATGTGTGTGTATGTTGCTGTATTTATAGATCTTACCAGAAATATTAAAACTCCTCGAACGTATGACTAAAAAACCCCTACAAAAATAGAGAAACTAGCACTGGGAGAAAGGCAAGGGAGGAAAAGATTTTCTATAAACCAAGATTATTCAAAAATGCTAGGTTGTCATGGAAACTGCTCAGGGAGGGTCAGCCAGCCTCACCTTTGTCTGCCAGCATCATCTGTCAATGCCAAAGCACTGCAAACACCACAAACACACACTCAAATTCACCCATCAAAATCTTTCCAGCGCAGCCCAGTATTCTCCACAGTGCAGAATGAAATAAAGCTCACTCCTCAGAGAGGCTCATTTCCATGAAAAAATTTGGTTTAGGAACCAATCTGATTTTAGTCTATTGCTAGAAGACAAAGCCATCTTAAAGAGGAGAAAATCAGCCTAATTTTTCACCTTTCTTCACTTAGTAGTCACCAGTCTCTCCTATGGTCATGTACACATTCTAATTGCAAGTGGAGATTTAATCAGCACTGCAGCATTACAGATGTATACTGAAACTACCTGAAGTAAAAATGTTCAGTTCTCAGGGTTCCACTCTACTTTCACAGCAAATACAGGGAACAGGCAAGTACAAGGGGAATAAAACAGCCCAAGAAACTAGAATCAATCCCCTACCTCTGCACACTTGAAAATGAGAAAACAAATTTACTTTACAGGGGTCCTGTAAGAGCCTAAGAAAGGATGTCTCCACAGAGACAAGTCCAGATTTACATCTTGAACTCTGGTCTTATGGCTACTCTGGCTCTGTTCAAGTGCCATGCTCTCCTCCCTCCCCCAAATCAATAACTGAAACCTTTGCACCTACAGGAAGGAATTCTAGGGGATCTCTGCCTTGAAGAGCTCTGGGAAGTTGTAGGTCACTCACAAAAGCTCTAAGTCTGCTTAGGGATCTACACCTCCCTTCAGGGAGAGAGTGAAAAAAAAATCACTATTTTGGGGCATGCTCAGCACTAAATGCTGAACTTCTTGCATGAGTATGTAAGAAATTAGCCCTGCACAAGATCAAAGCTGCACAAAACCAATGGACCTGATGAATAATTTGAGTAGGTTGTTTCATCTGGGTTATGTGCTGTCTTCCTTTCTAAGATGGAATTAAATAAACAGTCTCAATTTTCTCCCCTCCTCCCACCCTTTTTTCCTGAAAAGGCAGAGGCAGAATGTTCCCAAAAGATAAAGCAGCAGAGTGGTGGTTTAAAATGCAACATGATATTGACAAGCATAAAAGAAATGTTCCTGTATAAAGTTTTTTGCATACAACTGGACAAAATACTATAGCAACTTGGTCAACAATATTTCTAGTACAGTGGGGGCTCATATTCTGTAAATCAAAAACATGTTATGGCTGACTGGGAACATAAAATTTGGCTTCTCATGTTCCGGAGTGGGAGAAAAGAGCAACAGTTATAAATTCTGAGACATAAGAAATGGCTAAAAAGTGAACTGATGATTCTGAATATCTCTGCATGAAAATTCCTTCTGAATATCTCTGCATGAAAACTCCTTTTAATAAGGTTCTGGGGTGGATTTTTAATACCATTCTTCTACTTACCCTTGGTAATTTACTTTGATACACTGGAATTTATCTGCACATATCAAGTATTTTTGAAAAAGCACATGGATTTTTGTCACATTCTGACTACATACAACCAACCCAGAGCAGTATTATTAAAGCTTCTCCTTACACCAAGGGAAATGGAAGAAAAACATCTTGTTTATGTATTGGGAAATTCTTATAAACAATCCTGCCAGGCTAAAATGGGAGCTGTTTTTCACATAAAAGCAGCAATTTATTTTAACAAAAATAAGCACATAAAAATAAGCAGCAGAGAGCATGAAATAGCATGAAATTAAAGAAAACTCTGAACATAGCTGACAAACCTGAAATAATTTTTAAAATATGAAACTTCAATTAAAAAATATTTCTGTATCCATTTTATTTGGCATATTTACACTAAGGTCTGCTGTATCACTTCTTCCTCTATTTACTTCTGTCCTAGGGAGATGATCTACGTGAAACATGGTTATTTATGATCCAGCTAATTATCTCCCAGTGTTAATTTTGAGTCTGTTAGTGTACTACAGCAACCACAACACATCACAAGACCTACACTTACAAAATATAACTATTTAAAATCATGTATATTAGCCCACAATGAGAAACTAAAAGCAGTTTTGGGTCAGTGCTTGCAGCTCTAAATCTTGATCATGTCTTGAGTTTTAGTGCTTTCAGCACCTCTAAAGACTGTCATTATTTTCAGAGAGAGATGTCAGGTCTTAGTGTGTAAAATAAATGGACAACAGACTTAAAAAAAAATTTAAAAAGGAGTTATTATACAATCTAATTAGCCAAATACTTCATGATCAATGTCAGAAATATTTTAGGGACAAGAAAAGAAGTAGGTATTTTTTCTCTAAGAAAAAGCAACAACAGAGCCCCCCAAACTTGCAGGGAGTTAGTGACAGAGATAGAACTGCAATTTAAATTTTGTAACTGGATGTAACCTGCCCTTCAGTCATGAGAATTCTTCCTTTTTAAAACATAGAGGGCATTTTCCAATCACTTTATCTGTACTGCAAAAGCATACATCGTTTCAGAATTTGCCACCCTTAACATGCATTATTCATATAGTGCAGCTGGAAGAACCGCCTTCCCTCCAAAAGTTACTTTGTGTTTAATTTAAAAGATTTTTTAAAAACAAAGCCTACCATCTTTGCAGGACTTTCCATTCTCAAGAAGTTTCACACCAGTGGGACATGCACACTGATAAGAGGGCTTGGTAGGAGACATCAAACACAAATGGGAGCAGCCACCATTATTAGTTCCACATGGATTTGTAGCTGTTAAACATAAATCACACAGATTAATGCTTCTGATAACAATGAACTCATATCGTGTGTTAAGACACAAATGGCATTTGAGTGGTAGAATCAGTGGCAGCAACAGAGATTAAAGGAGAAAATGGTAAACACAGAACAAGTAAAAATTACTTTGAAGTGTTGAGTAGTGGGGTACTTATGGTATCAAAATGCATGGATGTTTAATGTTTCCCTTCTTGGGAAAGTAGCACTTAGCTCTAAAAAAGAAATTTGTTTCAGCTCTGCTCTTCTCATTTTTACAAACTCTTCAGCATACTGGTGCTGAATGTATATATAAAAACAAAATGCAAATACAGTAAATTAACACAATGGTTAAGACATTAGTTACTACATAGGGCTAGTCCTGCTTAATATCATCTGCCAAATTAACAGTACTTTTCACTCATGAACTACCACTTAGAAAAATAAAAATACTGTGTTGCCTGAAGTTATGGTACAGGAAACAGAAAAATACAACAAGAGCATAAATGTGTCAGGCAGAAAAAAGTAAGAGATGGGGAGTTTTCTTGCACTTAAAAATCCCTGCAAAAAATGTAGAGAATATATGGTTTCGCTTTGGTTCTTTTGCATTGGAAAAATTGTGTCACTACATGGGTGAAGCCAGCCAGCACCAAACAGAAAGACTAATTAAGACTTTTGCAAATCAGTTCCAGATTGCAATTAAAAAAGGACAGCAAGACAGCTTACCATTTGGCTGCCTCTTCTGGCTGAAGGCATGGATGTCCATGGGAGAGAAGATGTTGGAATGTATTTCACGCAGGTCCTCCCCAGAGTACTTGCTGCAGGCCAAGATCGAATGTGTGTTCCAGTCAGTCCAGTACAACGTGTCCCCAAACAGTGTCAAAGCAAAGGGATGTGGAAGGGAGCCTTTAACCACTGCTTGCCTAACAGAGCACAGGGAGAAAATGAATGCTCACAGTTCATGTGACAGTTTTGCCTGAACACAGCTTCTGTGAAAAGAAGTTTGGGTACTGTTCATCAGAACTTAGTATTTATTTCTGGGAAACAAATACTGCCCCTGCTTTGGGGAATGATATGAAGGAACAACACAGGAATATTTTCAGGCTGCCTACTGATGCTGAGAAGCCCAAGAGATGCTAACTGAAATCCTTACAGAGATGTGTTGCTACTTTTTATCTCTTGAATAGTCCATGCCTGTAGGGCTCTCTGCCACCACATGAACACCAGCTGATTTTATGCAAGTCTGACTGCTACCTGCTGATATACCATGTCCACCAATTCCAGCCTCAGCAGATTTTGCACTGAGACAAACTGGTCAATTAGCTATCCAACCATCCATCTCTTCCAGTTCCTCTTTTGAACTATCAAAAAATACTGTAAAATTTTTCACTCTAAAGAAATTCTTAAAAGTTACTCCCACTATTATGGTAATTATTAACCTATTGTTTTTACTATAAGCAGTACCATTAAACAGACTTCTAGTGATTTTCTGCCATGGTAATGATATAATTTCTGAGCAAACTGGGTCACTGCCTCTCTCCAGGTTCACAGAAAAAATTAAAGTGTATACTCATATATTTTATGTATATATATAAAGAAACGCTCATTAGCTATCACAAAAATGCAGCACAAACATTACTGAATACAGTTGTTCCAGGTACTTGTGATGTAGAAACTAATTATCTGTACTTAAGATCCTCAGAACTGGAATTAAATAGCTCAAGTCTTACTTTATTCAGAATCACAGAAAAATTTAAGATGGAGAGGACTACAGAGGTCATCTGTACCAACACAAAGCAGGGCCACCACACAAGCACCACTTACAGGAGTGCTTCTTTCCATCTCCTTTCTTCTTAACTGCCTAAGTGAAAGTATGTTCCCACCTAGGCAAGGTCCTTCTGAACAGGGGGGATCACCATCCCTTTCCTGAACTGGAAACATAAAGGACTGACACACAGCCCTGCTACTCCTTCTGAAAAAGGTCCACTAATGAACACCAGACTCCCATTTTTCTTCTTGCAGGTAAGACAGTAATCATCCATACATTTACTGAGAAAACACCCCCACACCACAAGCATGACTTCTGGAAATAAGTCTAACCGAAGTGGTTTAACAGACGAGAAAAATACTCTTATTTTCCAAATATTTGCTGTTTAAATGTAACAGAAGAGCACATTAATGCAAGAAGCTTGAATGTATCTTCTGAGTACAAAGAAACTATAGTCATTACAGTCCTTTCACCTTAGCTTTTTAAAAAAGATGCATTATAAGCTTTTTTTTTTTCCTATAGTTCCCTTGCTTACCATTCTAGTGTTCCAATTCTGCACAGAATGAAACCTTCTATTTCTCGGTATTTTGCACTCAAAAGTAGGACATAGTATCTTTTCTTTCTTATCTTGTTTGGAGTCAGGTATATATTTGCTTCTAATTAAATGCACCAACTAAGCATCCTACAAAAGACACTGTATTATAATTTAAAGCTGAAACCTGCCAGCCAAACAGTGAAGCCAGAATGACACAAAACATCCTGGTACCATACCAAGTAAAAAGGCATTCTAAATCTGCATATATTTTAAGCAACCTTATCCCCAAACCCTAAATACCTTCAGATTTGAATTTTAGTTTAGAGCAGGCTTGGAGACTAAGTCTTTATGTATGACATATTGTATGACATTTGACAAATCAAATAAATGACATTTTGTCATATGAAACAGATGCAATCAAAGACCATAACTCTCATTATAACCAAACCTGCCCCAAAGACCACATTCCCATAAGAAGAGAAGCCACATTTTTATGAAGCATTCTGACTAACTTTAAAACAAAACTGATCAACAAAAAAAAAACAAAACCACAAAGAAACAACAAAAACAAACAAAAACCCACCAACAACCCCTCGCCCCCCCCCCCAAAAAAAAAAAGCAAATAAAAAAATAACAAACCACAGAGAGGAATTTTACATGTGATTTGTACCCCCCAGTAGTTGGAATAAATCTTCGAGTACAATAGCTGCTGTTAGACATGCCTAACTTTCAGAAAACCCTCTATTCATATGACAATGCATCAGGTGAACTGTGACCCTTATTTAGACCAGCCCTTATCTGGAGAGATTCAGAAGCCCTTCATTTTACTGTGCTGCCAGCCACAATCTTGAAGCAAATTACTCCTCAACTTTTATTATTTTTCTCAGCAGATACAAGGTTGCAATGCATGAAGATGGCTTTGGGCCCAAACACAAGTGTGTATTTCTTGCATTTCAGTAAGATCAGTATTACCAGTAATGTACTCTGTAATCTTTGTTTCCAGCAAGCCAGTAGAAGGTGATAGCTTCCAACCAGCAAAACCAGCAGGGCTTTTTCTCCCTTGGAAATCCTCCACACTTGCAGCCCTGCTGAACAGCAGCCACACGATGTGTGCCAGCATGGAAGCAGTGGCTTGAGTTAAGCTCAGTGAGTCTCCACACCCTAATGAGGAGCAGGAGGAAAGGGCTGGAGAGCCAGCTATTAAAAAACAGGAAAAGGAAGAAGAGAGGGGGCAAGAAATGACCTTCTGATGGCTGCTGTAAGCAGCTCTGCTTTAGCACAACCTGCACTAGGAACTGCAGAGCTCTGCTTTTGGTGAACAAGACGATGGGTCCTGACTTCTGCCTAGACCGATTATTCATTAAACACACCCTGGTGGATGAAGGTGACCAGTGTCACCTGTGTACTCAACTGCTGCCCAGTGCGGATGGGAGCAGGTGCCTCCCACCTCCAGGGTGGTTTACAAGCACCCATACAAGGTCAGGGAGCAGAGAAGTCTCCACATTCCTGACCCTGATGGGTTCCAGGTGGAGCGCTGCAGGTGCAGTTGGACTGATGGGAACTGACAGCTCCTCACTGGCAGCTACACTATCAGGCCAGGCTTCACTGCAACAAGTGACAGGACAGCAAAAGGCACTCCACCCTATTATCCTTCATTAAGCTCTTTGGTTCCTTCAGACTGCTGCACTTGTATCATTAGTTTAGTTTAAAAGAGATGCCAGAGACAATGGGAAAGCGAGAGCTGGGAATAAGGGGTAATGTTATTCATTCAGGAGACATCTCCAGGGCCTCAGCAAGATGCAAATTGGCTCTATATTAGATGGAACTAAGCACACACTAATAATCTTCCCTGCACCAGGCATATAATCACATAAATTTGCCTTAAAAATCTGGATGGTGATTGACATTTAAAAGGCCACCATCTCTGTTGAGTTGGCTGGGAAGGAAATGCATAAAGGGATAGCAGAGAAGGAAGGTGAGGAGAGAAATAGAAAGAGAAAACAAGCAGTTTCCACAGAAATTAAATTCAATCTGTGTTGAATATCATGATTTCCCAAATACAACTATTTATCATGACAGTAATCAGAGATGTCATTACAATAAATATTTGCTATGGTAGAGTTTTCTACTGTCTGGAGAAAATATAGATCTGATTTAAATATATTCATCTTTGTTCTATTCTTATTCTGGTAAAGAGTCCTGTGAAACACTTTGTGAACATAAAGGAAACAAACAATAAACAAGTTAAAGCAGGAATTACAAAAGGAGCTACTGAACTCTGAAATAGAATAGATACATGAAATTTCATTGACAGTCTCTCCAGTTTTATATAAACAATGACAAAAAAGCTTTTGCTTTGATAATATTAAATAAAAATTAACAGCAAAATGACCAAAAAAACTCCATTAAATTAATGTCCTTTATTTTAACCAGGATTTCCTCAGTCTACCTTTATTTCTTTTTCTACTAACTAGCATTCAAAGCTATATTATAGCTATGAAATTTAGTAATTCAGATCACAAAAAGAAAGCCAGCAATAATCAAGATAATTTAAATTTTTAATATATTAAGAACTCCTATTTCCCCCCTAGAATATTAACAGATATTTTATATCCAAGCATAACTGCATTTCTCCATAAAAGTAAACAAGTAAACAGTTTGCAGTAACCAACTGCCTTTTAGTCTTGCTGCATTACAGTCTTCTAGTCTCAAGACCTGATCAGAACACCTGTAGAAAACCTGGGGTACTCTATATGTTCTGGCCTGTATGTCTCTAAACCATTAACACTCCAGCTTCACAGTAGCAGAACTCTTTTCGGGTGACCCTGAGGCTGCCTGTGCTCAGTCTCCAGGGCAGGGTGGAAAAGTTTTTGACATTTAAGTTTCACTCCATTTCTCCAGTGTCCCTATGGAGCATCCCATACCTATTACCATCTCCCAGGCTATCAGAAAGAGGGGAAAAAATCTGCTTTTGGTGCTCATAATATTAAAGAAAGCATATAAGAGGTTTGTATGAAGCAAATTTAAATATTTTAAACAAAACCTTATTTGCCATCTACAGAATGCTTCATGCTTTGAGTATTAACAAAATTGCAGGAATTTCACATCTTCAGCTTGTGACAACTGGAAATATTAGCAAGTGGCCAAAGCACTCAGAGCATGAATTAGATGAAGCAGGATCAACGACTAAGATGCACCCATAAAATATCACACGAAGGATGCCACAAGGAGGGCAGGGAGCTCTGGTTCCCTCCGCTCACAGGATCTCCTCTCCTGCCGACCTAACAAAAACATTTGAAGTGCAAACTCAGAAACGTAATGCATTTTTATCATGAATGCCTGTCTAAATATTCCTATCAGAAGACAAACCTGCTTTTAATTAGCTGAGAAAGTAAGCAAGAAACATGATTTGCGGGATACAATGCTCTCTTTTCAGGCCAAAGTGCTCTTGTCTTTTGCCACTTCTTTAAGCCACAATTGCCAAGTGTTTCCAGAAAGAATATATAACAAACAGGTCTAGCCATGATATGTCAAATCCAACCTGCAATGAAAATCTGAAAAAGTCACTCAGAAGTCAAATTCTGGTTGAGAAACGAAGTCATTCTGTGAGTCATTTTTCA